CCCCGCCCGCGGGCAGGACGCGCATGCGCCGGCTCCGCCCAGGGGCGCGGCCTGGTGACGTCATGGAGGGCGTGGGTCCTTGAGGGCCTCCCAGTATAAGCTCTTACTCCTGAAACCCAAGAACTAAGTAATGTCTTATAGCGCTGTTGGGTAAACCAAGCCCTGCCACCTACTTTTGCTCGACTTCACAAACAAGTTCAGAATGGTTTGTACATTTTGTAAAAGTTGGAAAAAGTCCAAAAGGGAAGACTATTTCGTGACACGTGAAAATCCTGAAAGTCATAGCTCAATGTCTGTAAAATAAAGTTTTATTGGAACACATGCACACCCACCCTTTACCCATCATCTGTGGCTGCTTTTACGCTACAGTAGTAGGGTGAGTAGGTGAGACATATCCTAAGGTCTGCAGAGCCTGATATACTTACTAAAAAATTGTTAGTGGACCCCCGCTTGCTAGGGTTGATGTAACAGTGTGACACAGCAGCCTAACACAGGGCCCTAGGCAGTGAATTTTGCTAAGTGGCTTTTGCCATAGTCCCTCTCCTCCTACCTTTACTTCCCTAGTCCTGTCTCCATCACTTCCCCACTGGACCAGCTCAGGAGCCTCTTAACCAGTTTTCCCAGCCCTGGTGCTATCAAGAACTGGGATCAATCAGCAACTGCTTCCAGACCACCAAAGTCTTCCTAATCTTTTGTGACTTGAATTCTAAGCATCTACAGTCAGCATTGAAGGCCATCAGAACCTGGCCCTTACGAACCTTTTCTTGAAGAATTTTCCACCTACCTTCTATCTGTGCAGCACCTCCTGTCAATGCCTGCCCAGCCTGGCTGCTTCCTGGCCACTTTCTGGCCCCATGCCTTGGCACATACCATTACCCTTGCCAGAAGCTCTGTTCTATCTCTTCATTACCCAGAAAACACCTATGCACCCTTCAAAACACAACCGAACTGACCCCTCCTCTGCCCTCCCACAGCCCCTTGTACATCGTCTTTTCATGCTTCGTCACAAATTCCTGACACAGAGCCACATCAGTGAGTATTTGTCAAATGAATGAGCATACAACCAATGACCAAATCACATCTCTTTTTATATGTGCAGAGGTAGGGAAAGCTGCCAGTACATTGGTAATGAGTGCGTCATTTACCAGGCACTGTGCTAGGTGTCAGGACTAGAATAGTGAACAAAACTGACAAGGTTTTTGCCCTCCTAGAGCTTTTAGACTTTCAAAAAGGGTGGGGATCAAATAACCACACATGCGCAAACGTAAAACTTCAACTATAGCAGATACTTCAGAGAGAGGGTATAAATATAACAGTTACTATATTCCAGTTACTGTGGCTGTATAACAAACCACCCCAAGAGTTAGAGATTTCGAGTAACAACAACCTGCATTGTGTTCTCCAATATGCAATCTGGGCAGGTTTAGTGTCAGGTGGGTAGCTGGAAAGCTGGGGCTGGAGTCCTCTAAAGCTGACTCACTCATCTGTCTGTCCATCTGTCTGCTGGCTATCGGCTGAGACCTGTGCTGGGACTACTGCCAGGAGCACCGAGATGTGGCCTCTTCATGCGGCCGGAGCTCCCTCACGTGGCTGCTGGATTCCAAGCACAGTCATTCTGAGGAGAGGAGAGATGGGCCAGGTGGAAGCCATATATCTCCTTTTCTGATCCAGTCTCTTAAGTCACATGGAATCATTTCCATTGCAGTCTTTCCATAGTGGCCATGACAAAGTCCTTCCCAAATTCAAGGCAAGGGCAAACAGACCCTAGAAGCTGGGGAGTGGCCAGGGTCTGGAATAGCTTGGGGGACAGGAAATGTTGCCATGACCATTTGGGGAAAATATCCCCGCCACCACAGGGACTTAACCCAGTCTAGTAGGGGATGAAGAAGGCTTCCCAGAGGAAGTGGCACACTAGCTGAGTTCTGAAGGATATATAAGCGTTTACCAAGAGGATCAGAGGGAACAGCTGTGCAAAGGCCCTACGATGGGAAGAAGTGTGGCACATTTGAACTTGAAAAAGAAAAAGACCAGTGTTTTTGGATAGCAGGGTAAGTGTGGAGAGAGGGCAGAGGGGGCAGACCACTCATCCTGATGGGATGAGTTAAGAATTTTGGTCTCCGCATTTCACCTGGTAGAAATTGCACATGAGTTTTATGCAAGGAGGTGTTTGAGCAGCTTTGATTTTGGAAGAGAGGACTCTGGCTGCTCTGCAGGGAAGTGATAGGAGGGGATCCAAGGATGAGTGCAGGGAAGCTGTTTTACCCTTTAAGGCAGGCAAAAGATGATGGTGGCTTAGACCAGGATGGGAAAAGTGAAGTTGGAGAGGAGGGGATGGAAGGGAGGGATATTTAGAAGGTAAAACAGAGAGGATATGGTGCTGGGTGGAAGTCAGGGTGAGGGTGAAGGAAGCAGTGAGAATTCATGGCTCCCAGCCCAGAAAGGAATTCTGCATGGTTTCAGCACATTCCTGTCATCCCGTAAGAACAGCAGCTAAGGCAGACCGAGGCCACCAGATGCTTGGACAGTGTTTTTCACACTAATAACACCTGGCAATCTATTAGTTGCTGTCTTGGAGAACAAACAGAGTGTGTAGGCTTCTAACATGCTGACAGAGTCCTCACACAATACCCCCTGCCTCCAAGCAGTGTGATTCTATTCAAATTTTAAGGATCACTTTTAGTTTTCCACTCTTTTCATGGATCTCATATGATCGGAGGAAGCACTGACTCATTTGGAGAATAGGCAACCACAGGCCAGTTCCACCTTAGGGGTGTGTGTGTGTGTGTGTGTGTTGGTACATGATTGCATCCTTCAGAACTCAGCTAGAATGCCACCTCCTCCAAGAAGTCTTCCTCAACCCTTGCTAGACTAGTTTAAGGGCCCTGGGTGGCAGGAGGTATTTTCCCGTAATGGCCACAGCAATATTTCCTGTCCCCCATGCTATTCCAGAACCTGTATGTGTATGTTTATGTGCATGTGTCAACATGTGGACGATGGTACACACACATCTTGTCATTCTTATTTTTATAAAGCATAAAAAGTTTCTAAGCTAAATATTTTTCTTTACTGTTTTCATCTACACAGATTAAGCTGAAAAAACTTAAGAGTTGACGGTTTAGATAGACCAGCTTTGGAACACAAATTTCCTACGGCTCGTCGAATTTAACATTAAGGTAAGATTTTTTAGTAGGTCTTTTGTTGGACAGTATTTTGGCGAGGTTAAGAAGACAAGATCAAAAGATCCTGTTTTAATCTAAGTCTTCCCAGGTGGCAGACTTTATGACTCAAATCTCTAAAGTCCAGAATCATGGACTTGTGGCAGAATTCCAAGGTTCTCAGTCCTGGTGTGTGCACCCTAGTACCCTGTCTAATCCCCCATCCTGGAGTATGGCTGGGACTTGGGAGCACAATGCATGTCACTCCTGAGATTAGGTTATGCCACAGGGCAAAGGTGAAGGAATTTTGCATGTGTATTTACGGTCTCAAATGAGTTGATGGTGAGTTCATCACAAGGGAGATTATACTGGGTGGGCCGGACCTAATCAGGGGCACCCTTTAAAAGACAGTCCAGAGGTCAGAGTCTTAAAGCAACAAACAGATGTGATCCTGCTGGCCTTGAAGGAGAAACCAGCCTTGTGAGCTGCGTGCGTAGGGAGAGGGGCAGCCACTAGGAGCTGAGGTCCCCAGTCCTATAACTATGAGGAGCTCAATGCTGCCAACAACCTGAATGAGTGTAGAAGAGGGCTCTGGGCTTCTCAATGAGCCCCAGCCTGGCTTACATCTTGTGAAGCCCTGCACAGAGAACCCAGCCACAGGGCACCCAGATTCCTCACCCATAGAAACTGTGAGATAATAAATGGCTGTTATTTTCAGCTGCCAAATTTGTGGTCATTTGTTATACAGCAATAGGTAACTAATACTCCTATAAAGTAGC